GTTGTTGTTTCTCTGCCTGATGCTCCGCAGGAATTCCCTTCGATGGCGGGCTGCGCTGCCTCTGCTGGAAGGTGGGTTTTGCTCGGGGTGCTTCGGTGAGGGATGCTTCGGGTCGCTTAAGTACATTCTGGGTTTGGGTACTTAAAATTGTAAACAACAAAAAAAAATCCAGAGCTTAAAAGCCGCTTGGAAGCATCAGTGATTTGTGGAGATCGGTGCTGGCAGATCGCAGTAGCAAGGTACTGACACAGGGCAGCCGTCAGTGTGGATGGCAGAAAGCAGCCGCTTGCGCTGGGGCTGAGAGCAGCCCTCAGGATTAAGCTAGGAGTGCAGTTCAGCCGGGTTTGCTATTGATAAATAGTACAAATAGGTCTGTGTTGAAAACCAGTCCCTGAAATATTCCTGAGTGTCGTTTGGCAAAGTACTCAGCTTTCTGGAGAAAGCTCCCAGTATTTTCCCAGAGCCAGTTCTAGCTGCTGCGTTTGGTTTGCTCATCTTACAGCTGTAACAGCTCATTCTGCAAATGCTAATTTGTGCTCGTCTGTCTTCTGTGCAGATACTTCTGAACTACCTCCCTTTAGAGAAAGCCTTATGGAGCTCTTTGCTGAAGAAACAGAGGTGAGGACGTCGGCACTTGCTCCTTTATTTCTAATGATATCTCCAGAGGAGGAGAATATAGTTGCTTAAATAATTAAGTATCTTCGTAAAACGAATTGCTCTCATGTGGAATGTACTGTTCTGTAGGCTGTCTCGTGAACTGACCTCTTCACCTAAACTGAACTGGAAAGAAAATCAAATGGCTTCTGGCTGAGTAGGGTGCTACAGAGAGATCTGTTTGAACTCAGTCTGGGTGCTTACATTGACTTAATCTTCTACTTAGTTGCAAATTCCTCTTTTCTTCCTTAAGGGATCTGTATTCCCAGTTCCTGAAGGAAATGATTATCCAGCCTGGGATTGCCAAAGCCAACCTGGGTGTTTCAAGGGAAGATGTGACCTTAGAAGATCATGTAAGTGCTGCTGAGCCTTTTGTGTTGCAAAAAAAATTCCCCAGAGCTATAAACTCTGTTGTTCTGGAGTCTGGACCCCTGGGCTGCTCTTGGCTCTATTCTTGGACTGTGAGAACCTTGCCCTGCTGGCAGGAGAGACAGTTTCCAGGTACCAGCCGGGTGCTTGTATCTCAGTAGCCTTCAGCCTCAGTTATTGGCAAAGCACCCGTAGTTCTGAAGAGGGCTGTTTTCAGCTATATGAATCCCTTTTCCTCTCCTTTGGGGCAACTGGCCAGGCTGTGGGTCTCCTAGGGCAAGGGAGAGGCTCACAAGAGGAACGTCTGATGAAGAGACGCTCTCCCGGGAAGTCCCGGGAGTCCCTGGGTGGTCTCAGAGCAGGTTAATCTGAACAGAGGCTACAGAAGAGGCAGAAGAGTTAAGTTGGACTAAGACATGGAAGGCAGGAGACTCACTTATTTCTAGTTCTGCTGGTTGTGGGGTTTTTTATTGACTATTTCCTGCATCGCTTGGCTTTTCCCTTCTCTGAAAGTGCTGTTAAGAGTGTATGTGTTGAGGAAGAGAATGAAGTAACTAATCAGAAGAGACCAGAAAATGATACAGCGTATCATGATACAACAATCAGGAATCTTGTTGAGACAGGACAGGATAGCTGATTTGGGAACAAAGACCTGAAGAGGCAGGTGAAAAGGGATCGGGAGTGTTGGCTTCTGCCTCTCTAAGCGAACCTGCGTGTTCGCTCCTTTCCCAAGCTCCTGTCCACTTTCTGCACATAGTGTGAAGAAACAACACTGTGAATGTAGCCAGTGAGAGAAAATGTGACATCTGATGTGTTAGAAATGTGCTGTTACTGGATGATGGAGGGGCAACAGAGGTGTAAAATCAGTGTGTATTTACTGACGATTTTGGTACATGTGAAACACACTTGTTCTGTTTCTGTTGTTTATTTCTTTAGCCCCTCAATCCAAACCCAGACAGTCGATGGAATACTTACTTCAAGGATAACGAAGTGCTTCTCCAGATTGACAAAGATGTCAGGTGTGTGAAGCATGATGACTCAGGCTTCTGAACCCGAGCAGTTTGGTTAACACGTTGTACTTTGAAAACAAAGTTTAATATTAAACTGAGCCTCCCGTTCAACGTGGGGCACGTACTTCCTTCTCATGCCCAACTTCCTTCTGTATCCGTCCTAGGAGGCTGTACCCTGACATGGCCTTCTTCCAGCGTCCAACAGACTACCCCTGCCTTTTAATCCTGGACCCCCAAAACGAGTTTGAGACGCTGCGCAAGCGAGTGGAGCAGACCACGCTCAAGTCGCAGACGGTGGCACGAAACCGCAGCGGCGTAACAAATGTGAGCTCTAGGTGGGGGCTGTCCGTGGGGCAAGGCGTTCTAGCTGATAAGGGGAAGGATGCTTCTTGGGCTTTTTTTCTGTTTCTCTCTCTTTCTGCTTGTGCAGTGGAATTAGGGAAATACCCCAGCAGGTGCTCCGTGTTTTGCTGGCCAGAGAGCTTTGGAGAGCTCATTGATGTACCTGACAGTAGGGAGTTAAAGGTATATTTAGTTTGAAGTATTATTTGTTCCTGACTTCTGGTGGTAGGTGGAGTCGCAAGAAGATGTGAGTATTTTATGCGTGACTTGTGCCTTTCTTTACGGACACAAAACACTGAGAAGTTTATTGAAGTTGAATTTACGTAGTCTTCCAGAGCTGGATCTCATAAACCTGCAGTTATGAAGAGAGCTGGATATCTGCTGCAGTCTGTGTTGTCTCTTTCCTCTTTCATGAGCGTTACGCTACAAGCGTTGCGTGTTTTGGAGACGGTGGCTTGCCTGCCGCACCAGATCTGTCCTTGTCCTCGTGCTGCCACAAAGAAGTGGAACCGCTGAGGTTTCTTCCTGTGGTGTGGTGACTCAGGGGAGCTGTCTGTTGCTGCACAGGCTGCTGCTTTCTTCAGAGTTAGCCAGCACTAGGCCTTCGCCGTATTTGTGCTTCCCAAATTGCTTGCTGTGGTTTGCCAACACCTGACCACTTTGGTGTAAGCTGCCCAAATCTCTTTTTGCGGGGGCCTGCGTGTGGTGAAAGCCAAGCTTGGCACATGTACAAAACTACTGTGCCAGTTGGTTGTCCTGAATCAGCCCCAGTCCTGCCTTGCTTTTCAGGTGAGCTCCCCTCTTAAAACAACACCCAATTCTCTGAGCGAGTACGAAGTTCTGCCCAACGGCTGTGAAGCTCACTGGGAAGTGGTGGAGCGAATCCTGTTTATCTATGCCAAGCTGAACCCTGGGATAGCCTATGTCCAGGGGATGAATGAAATCGTGGGGCCTCTTTACTACACCTTTGCTACGGATCCTAACAGCGAATGGAAAGGTGAGAGGCTTTTGGCCGCTCAGTAATGACAGCTGTACTGCATGCTCTCTGCGTAAAGAACTGTTCTGGGAATGAGACCGTCTTTAAACAGCTCTGTTCTGGCTGATAGAGGCCAAAAAGCAAATACAGAAAAAAATGCGGAGTTTGGGGCAACTAGAGCAAGTTGACGGAAACTGAATGGGCTGTGAGTGATGAGGATATGGGAAATTTTTGAGGGAGTTTTGTTTTGTGTGTATCTAAGTTGCACTTCATGAAACTTAAAATCCCTTTAGAAGGTGTTGTTTGCTTTTACTGTATGTCGCTGGTAAGAAAGGAATGGAATTGAGAGTACGTTGCCTGTCGCTTCTATCTCATGGGAGCTCTGAGGGTGTGTGCTGGTGGCAAACAGAGGAGATTATGTTCTTGGGCACAGATAACTGGTTTGTGACCCGATGTCACAAAGACCTCTTGTTGCATACAGGGTCTTTATCTGCAGAGACTCTGTAGACTTTCTAGGTTTGTTTGGTTTTGTTTTTTTAAAAAAAAAAAAAAAAAGTCTGGTCTTGTCCCAGACCAAGCAAGCCGAAATTGTGTGGGATGAACCACTTGAATCGAGTACAGCAACAACAAGCCAGAACAGCTGTAAGTCTGTGTGCCTCTGTCAGTGATGCTTCCTCTATTCCACCATCATATTTTTAAAAATTTTTCATTTATTTTTTTTTTGCAGAACATGCTGAAGCAGACACGTTTTTCTGCTTTACCAATCTAATGGCTGAAATTCGGGACAACTTCATTAAGAGCCTGGATGATTCTCAGTGTGGTATTACCTACAAAATGGAGAAGGTCTACTCCACGCTGAAGGAAAAGGATGTGGAGCTGTATTTGAAACTGGTGAGGAGCTAGGTGTTTCTCCGAGTCTTGGAATGCGAGGAGGGGAGCTTAATAGCGTGTTTAAATGTCAACAAATTTTGTTAAACTGTTACCGTGCTTGAATAGACAGGTTCAGAGAGTGTAGGAAGGGTTTTGCCTATAGGGCATAGAGGCTTTCTTATCTATGAACTGAAACCACCTCTCCTTGCAGTACGCCTGGAGTGAGCTGACGCAGCAAGGCTTTCCTCCCTGCCTGCCTGTGAAAGCAAACAATAGTTGTTGTGAAACTGCCAGCTGTGAGTCCGAAGTGACTTGGCTGCAATCCCTGGTCACCTGGGATGAGACCTAGTTGGAGCTGGAGTCTTTCTTCTAGTCATCAGCAAAACATGAGTTTAGCTGTAGATTTCCTTGAAATCCGAGGTTACAGGAATTGCATCTCTGTCATTAAGGACAAAACAAAAACCAGGCCACCCCCTAGGGCTTTGGTTGCCACTGGATGTCTTGACAGTAGTAACTTAAACTGCTTGGAGATCGTTCCAGAAGGGAACCAAGCAAGCTGGTCCATCCCACTCACCTAATTTTGTTGTTGTCCTTCACACAAAGGTCTCAGAGTGCCTGTAGGGTTTGTAGAACGTATAGAAGGCACCTTTTGCTGAAAACATCTTCAGATCTTACAGGCCGCTTAGTGTGAAAGCCCAAGGAGAATTTGGAAGAGAAAACTGTTCGTGTTAGTCCAACTTTTACCAAATCACACTGAGATTTTTTTTTTACTTTGTTTGGATTTAGAGAAATTGAGATTTTATTTTCTTTTATTTTTTTTATAATCCAAAAGATGATTTGTCAGCACAGTGACATGACCCACAGTGTTGGCTGGTGGCTGATTCAGTGGGGAGAAAATAAAACTGCTTACACTTTGGCTGGCAGGAAATGGTCTTGGCGGTGCAGCAGCTAGCCCTTAAGAATATCAGCAGGATCCTGAACACGTTTGACCTTGATTAAATTTATGGTCCTTTGGATTTAACAGCAGAAAACAAGAAGAGCTTCAGGCTAGAAGTGCTTACAGTATGTTTTACTGACCATCGGTGTTCCATCTTTGTTTCTTTTTGTGAATAGTAAACCCTTTGATAAATACAGGGCTTCTGGAAGGGAGAGGAAATCCTGACAAAACAGGGCCTCTGCTAGAGGGGGAGGGCTGCAGCTTTACTGATAAAATGCTGTTCAAATAGAAACATTAAAATTACTTGGCAAGTTTAACGGAACTCACACAAATAGTGCCTTTAGGAAGAAAAGCTTCCGTCGCCCCATGTTGTCGACAGAGGAACGTTTCCTGGCATCTCTCTGTAGATATGGAGCGTGGTTGCACTGAAAATCTCTCTGTCTAGCTCGAGTATGAGAGTCGTCGGAGGTGGCAGAGGGTTTGCTGGTGTTGCCGTGAGAATCGGCAGCTTAGAGAAATCTCGGGGTGGGGCTGGGGCTGGAAACGTGGGGTGCGTGTCTTACTTGTAGGGGGCTGGCCAAGAACGCGTATTCATTCTTTGCCTGGTGCATATCTGACAGCAAGAACAGAACATCAAACCCCAGTTCTTTGCCTTCCGTTGGCTGACGCTGCTCTTGTCCCAAGAGTTCCTGCTGCCAGACGTCATCCGTATCTGGGACTCCCTCTTTGCTGACGATAAACGCTTTGATTTCCTTCTGCTCGTCTGTTGCGCCATGTTGACGTAAGTACATAGGTAGCCTTCCCGCTCTTCTCTTTCCCCCCTTTACCTAAATCTGTGGATCCCAGGGTCTTCTGTAAGCATATGTTAAGGGATTTGGTGAATAAGTTACAGTCACTGTTCACAATGGTAGCAAAACTGTTTTCAAGAGCTTCTGTAAGGGCACAGTGTAGACTGGTTTTAAAGTTCCTCTGTAAAGACTCAAAAGTAGCTGGAATAATTTCCCTCTTTCAGACTAATCCGGGATCAGTTGCTGGAAGGAGACTTCACTCTGAACATGAGACTGCTACAGGTAAGAATTGAGTGCAGCAGGTACAGGGAGTAATTTGAAGAGTCTTAAAGTAGTGCTGTGAGAGGGGATGATCATCATATGAGAGAGGGTATGCCTGGCTGAAGAGAAGTTCCAGATTTCTGATGTTTGCATGCAGAAAAATCTTAGGCATGTTTCTCACTGGAAGTGTGAATCTTTTGCTTGTGCACCCATTCTAGCTTACAGAGAAATTAGCTAGACTAGATGTTTCTAATATTCCTTAGTTTTGAAACAAAAATGAGTCAAGCCAAGATAGGAAACCCTGTGTAAGAGCGTTAAATTCATTGGCCAGAGGCTTTTGTTTAGTTCTGAGATCTGTGAGAGGCCAAGACTGGAAACGCCTGCACTGCACAGTAGGATATCTCTGATTCTACCAGTTCCTGCTTTGGGCTGTGCAAGATACTGGCTTCGATAAGGCTTTCTGGCATGAAGATAGCCCTTGTAGCAGGCCAGCTTGCTGTACCCTTGGAGCACAACTTTTTTTAAGAAAAAAACAAACCACAAACAACCTTCTTGAAGGGTATTGAGACCTGATCAGTTACAAAACAGGAAACCATTAGCTCTTAAGGGAGTAACTGCCCATGGCAGTATGTTACAATAGGCCAAGAATGCTGTTGTCAAGGTTTGGCCAGCGTAAGTGAAGCGATGTGTACAAGAAATGCTGCATAGTCACTTCGAACACTTTTGTTTCTTTAACATAGGATTATCCTATTTCTGATGTTCATCTGATTTTGAAGAAGGCGAAGGAACTTCAAGATTCCAAATAGTCTGTGAGCCTAACAGAAAGGTGTCAGAGAAACTGTATGGCAGCAGATCCCAGGAGATGCCCCCATGAAGCGTGGTGCATTAAAGCTCCTGGTGGTCTCTGCAAGACTTCAAGTTCCATGTTTGGGCTACTGGCCACCTTGAAGACTTCCTTCTACTCTATTTATTAGGTCAAGGACTGATTACTTCCCCATCTACTTGGGTCCTGCACTCCAATTTTTTTCACCTCTCAAATGCCTCTGTGCTGCCAAAAGCAGTTCTTTGTATCTTTTTTTAAAGACTTTTAAGTTTGGAGAGAAAGAAAGGATCTGTCTGCATATCCATGAAAGGGTGGACTCCTATATCATGGAAATAACACATGAAGTAACTTTTCCTGGGGAAGGGACAAGGCTGAGTCCGGTGGATTTTAGTGGGTGAGTATAGAAGGATCTTCCTCCTGTGAAGAGAATGTATTCCAATGAAGTCACACCTTCTGCCATTCAAGTAGCTTCTGGATTCTTCTCCCGCGTGTCTGCACTTGGCCATCTCTGAGGTGTGCGTGGAAGAAGATTGCATCGGTTTCTGGTGATTGTCATCTGACGTCAGGCAGTTTGGACCCCTTTGCCTGGGAAAGAGACCTTGAGAAGCTGCGATGGGAGGACATCATTAGAGCTGGTGGCTTTATGCACCAAAACTGCCTGAATCCAGAATCGCCTTACCCACAAGGACTCCCTGAAAGCAAGACTGTGGTGGTTTCAATCAATGAGTGAAGTGTAGTTTGAAGTCAAGCCTTATTACGCACAGCCTTAGAGCAGGAGCTTGTTGCTGCAGGGAGGCCTCACGCTGCTTTCCTGGCTCTGAACTGGAGCATACCCCACTACAATCAGGATTTTGAAATACAAGAAATGGGCATCTAGTCATGTGCAATGAAGACAGACATATTTAGGGGCTTATACAGGCATGGCACGGGGGTTTTCTGCCTCGGTGGCTTGTGTAATATTACCCTTCATAAGCTCTGGTCATGGTAACCTTGATATTGTCTCACAATACTTGCCAGGAAGAGATGAGGTACGGGTCTGACCTACAAGTGAGAGTCCTTTTCTGGTGTAATCCAGCATTTGTCATCAGCTGACTGCTGGGGCTGAGCTGCTCTTCCATGGACCAGTCCCGTTGGAGTCACCGTCCTGAGCTGGATGTTTGTCCCTTCTGAGAGGGGATGCTGCTGCTCGTCAGAGACAGTTGGAGCAGGCTCTGGTGAACGCGGACTGAGACAAACTACGGAGAGAACTGCTAACCTGCCGCCAGCGTCAGGCTGATCAGAAACTGTAATCCTCAGAGGGAGAAACTGCCAGCACTCAGGTGCTTGGGTGGTGTAAAAGCTCTTGAGAGAACACTAATCTAGCGTGCTTTTCCCTTTCTTTCTATGCTGGCTCACCTCTGCATAGGTCTTTGACACTGCAGTTTTTTGTATTTATGGGTATTGATTTGTTATAAGTCAGCCTTCTATGTAAGATCTGCTTAAGCTGCCTGTGGCCTAGAACCAACCTAGCAGAAGGGATCTTGTCAGCCTTCAGCTGTTTTTTTATGAGTGTTATTTCATTCACTGAAGGCCAGTTCTTTACAGGCTGCTGTAATTCTCATAAAGGTGGATGGGGAGCCTGGAGGACAGGTTGATGCACACACCTGTGTGCTTATTGGCAATCCCAGGCACTCTCTGCCTCTTCAGAAGATGCTCGAGTAACACTAGTGCAGCCCAGCGTTGCTGCTGCGGTGGAGCAAGAGCAACTGAAGACTTAAAACAATCTGTAATTAATACTTATGGCTAACAGTATCCCTCTCTGCTGCAATCCTTTCTAGAGGGGGTAGAGTTTTCTTCCAAGAAATGTGGAACAGATAGATCAGGACAGCTGTGTGATGAAGCATCTTGTCTGCTCTAACCACTGGATGGATGTTCCTCCTGCTTTGTATCGCTGAGCTGTTCCAGGTGGTTTCATGGTCTCAGCTCTTGGCTACCCTGCACTAGAGAGGCAAGTACTCAGACCTCCTGTGGCCAGACAGCTGGCTGGGAGGCACAAATGTAGAACGGGAGGGTCAAACTCTTAGGCAGAATTAGACCTTCTCCAAACTCTTCTGCCTCCGAACTTCTCTAAATACTGCTGTAACTCTCACATTCCATGTACAAGCTCTGCTCTCACCTCTCTGAATTCTTGGGCTCTCCATTTGGTTCCCGCTGGCAAGTGCAGGGTTCCTTTATGCTGTGTTTTCTCACTGGTAGCAGGAGCATCCATGAAGGTTCCTGCTCTGAACAGGTAGAAGTCTCCTTTAAAAATCACCTGAGAAGGCGGCAGGCAGAGCAGGATTAAAGCATTGACAGAGGTGAACTTCTGGTTGTTTTCAGGGTAGCGTTTGGGCCCTGAGGTTGACCTCCCGCAGTACAGTTGCCCAGCTCCGAGTTAGGACTGACTTTGAGGAAGACACCAAGGTGGTGGCTGTCTTGCAACGGGTGTCCTGGTGGCTTCTCCCTTCCTAGATATTGAAGGGCTTATGTTGTGCCATCTCACTTCTCTACAGGCAGTGCTGGTAAAGGCATTTAAAAGGAATTTGCAGTGGTTTAACGGGATATCGTGAGAGCTCTGGCTGCTGGAAAGGTTCTCTGGGATAAATTCTCCAGCCTTATCCAGACTATGGCTGCTAAACTGATTTCTTCTCTGTGGAGAACATTTAACAACTATGATATAGCCAGACAGGCTGGTTGCTACATAGAAAGCTTGTTTATATTCCTACTTATCTCCTCCTGTGTGGTAGGACTAAAGTCTTGCTGTTGGAAAGGGCTGTTGAAAGGAATTGCACTTTTCAGTGACTTGGGACATCCAATTCTTTATTCCAAGACTTTACTTAAGGGCAAAACTAGATTTTCTGCTGGGGGTAAAGAAGGTTCTGTTACCAGGTCTTGAATCTCCTTATGAGTCTCCTCGGCTTCCTCAAAGGCTTTTGGTGATTGTTGTTGTTGAGGTTGGATGGTATTTAACAAGTGGTTCCTTGCTTGTGTGGCCAAGTAACAACTGTTGCAGCCTTGAGATGTTTTCACCTCTGATTTCTTTTGGTCTTAATCCGCTGCAAGAGCAGCGAGGTTGGCTGAAGTGGCAGCTCTTTGGGTTGGGAGGTGCTGGTCTGGGGTGCCTTGGGGACCTCTTGTTTCATAGGGGCCTAAGCAGAGGATGTCTAAATAGCTCTGATACGACACTCTTCATGTGCACAACTTCTGCTATGCAGGGGAAAGGGGGCACATCTTCAACGGGGAGGAAAAACAGGGTGCTGTGCTGGATGCGGGGAGAGATGAGCCTTCCCTGGGAGGAGGACATCTGCCCCACCTGCACCTCTTTTTAAGTCAGGCTTGGGGAAACTTGTGGGGTGGAAGTGACAGGCTAGGAGAGATCAAGTTGGTGGTGAACACTGGGTTTGAGTTTGAATTTTGTGACCTAACCTGGAATTACTCACAATTTGGCAGGGAGTGGAACGATAGAAGTTGCTTTGGGGCAGCCGGGGGTGTTTGGGAAAGCAGGGGCTGGTTTCCCTCGGTGAGTGCTGGTGACTGTTGGAGCTGTTGGAGCACTCTTCCAGAAGGCCCTTTCCCTCCAAGAGAGGAACAAATAACACTTTTTCTTTTTTTTTGTTTGTTTTTTTT